GAAGTTATAAGGAATGATAAAATGCAAATGATAAAATTACCATGCACAGTAAATGGTGTCTCACTTGCGTGCTGGGTATTCTCATATGCACAGGTGGATTTGCAGCTGCAGTGACCACGCCTTTGGATGTGGCAAAGACAAGAATCATGTTGGCAAAGGTAAGAGGCAAAATAACGTAATAGCGACACAGCAAATGCTTGTCTGTCAGCGCTAGGACTTATGGGCATATAACATGAATAAAGGTGGTCTAGCACTTACCTGTAATAGCACCTCGAGCTGCCTGTGGAACCTCTAATGAAACCGACACTGATAGACCAATATCCACAGTAATCACCATGACCGATGTCTATATGCATCTAACCATTTCAAAATCATTTTCACCTACATTATGTAAGCAAGTAGAGCTGATAGGACCACTGTCTCATCATGCTATTTTCAAATAAACTCTCTTTTTACTGGTAACCAAGCCTAAGGCTTAGAGAGGTTGACTAGCATCGTGCCACGCAGCAAGGTGAGCTATGAGCTCCGAACTTAAGGTCATGCTTGGCCTTAACCAGATGGGTTGAGACAGTTGCCATAACTGTTTTAAAAAAGAATGTTAAGGAGAAAAATTGTATTTTTTTTTTAAAAAAAAAGCTAGACTGAGACTTCAAGGAATGCCATATGTATAGCATACCTGGACCAAAACGTGGAAAAGGAGAACAAATAGGGGCAGATTCTAGTACGTAGTTGACAGGACCAAACCTAAGGATGTTGATCACGTGTCCGAGTGAGCAGGTACTCTTCCCTAAATGTGCTCGTGAGCTATGTAGGCACGTTGCGTAGTTGTACCATTTACACTGGTGACTCCCTGTCCTCCTCAGGCCACCGCATGCTGCGTTCAGTCTTGTTCCTGGTAAACAGTTGTTCGTCGGTAATGTGGGTGGGCTCTGAGAAGCAGCTTCCCCGTGTGGCACGGGCCACAGCTCTGCTTGCCTGCAAGCGTGAGTGTAAGCGCTCCTGGGCGAGCGAGACCAGGTCCTGATTGCCGAGAAACTCCTCGGTCTGTTGGAAACTCTGTCCTGGATGAGGGCGGTGGGCCCCGTGCATCTGGGGCTATCTCAGAGCCAGCTGTACATCGGGGAGCTTCAGAGGATAACAGATGTCTCCTGTGTCTGTTCCCGTAGGCCGGTTCCAGCAACGCTAGTGGGAACGTGCTCTCTGCCCTGCACGGCGTCTGGCGGTCCCAGGGGCTGACAGGGTAAGGACAAGAGGATGCTCCGCTGCCTTGCCCCCTCTCCTCCAGCTCTTCCTACTTTAGCCTGACCTTTCCTTCCTTCTGCTTGTGTTCTGGTTAGGGTCTCTCTTTATATTGTACAAAACGTATTCGATGTTGCGTATGTGAACATAACACAGCACGTAGTCTAATCAATGCCATGTTCCAAGCCAGGCCTTCTCAGCCTTGTCCATCTTGATGTTAGGCGACATTCATATGTGTGGCCCTTGCCAGGGTCTGGGCTGTGGCCGTGATAAAATAGGCTCTGGTTACAGAGAGTGGGAATGCAAGCGAGTGAGGCTCACATTAGAAGAGAGCACTTGTGGTTTGGGTACTTTTAACTATCATTGGTAACAAATTACCCGCAACACACCCCGGTGCACCACACCTCCGCGGAGAGTCAGGTGAGAACCATTGTTCTCTGTATTGCTGGCTGAGTGCCTCAAACGTCTAGCTTCATGTCCTA